CAGTTTTACCAGTAAGGGACACACCAGTCCGGTTTAGAGAGACAACTACCCACAGAAGATTCTAAACCGCATTAATAAAGATCAGGCAGAGAAGTCTTATTCTGCAGATACGCTAAATGTTATCAAAGCCACACATCAGCTGCAGAGAGAAGAAAAAGGAGAAAAAGAGAACTCAATCAGCTAGGTTTGCACATACCTCCTGAGTATGAAGACATCTTTGGCACACAAAAAAATGCAACTTTCAGACACAACAGGGGTATTTAAAAAATGGCCTGTATCTATAAAACAAGCTACAGTGCTTTCAGATCAAGTAACACACTCATATAACCTGAGTACATAAAAAAACTGTTTTTAAATTATGCTTTCTTTTATTAAGAGGGGAAAAAAATATGCTTCAGTTCCGGGACCTTTGGTTGATTTCTGAGCATGCTAAGGTGTTGCTACAGCATTTTACTTCCAGACTTTGACGTCATTCCAAAACGCTGATTTTTTTTTTTTTTTTAAGCCATTCAAATGGGGACGTGGTAATGTGCTTTGCATCATGTTCCTGCTGCAAGACCAAGCTTCAGGCCCCAAACCAATAGTCAGGCTGTTTGTTTTTTTTTTTCTGAAATGTTTCAGCAGAGAACAGAATTCACGATTCAATCCATCATGGCAAGTCATAAAGGTTCTGCAGATTTTGGTCCGCAAGGTTATTTTTCCCTCGAACCCTCTCAAGGATGTTATTTTTGCCTAATCTCAGTCTGACTGTTGAACACAAGTGGTGTAAGGGCACGCGTTGTGTCTTGGCTTCAGGCCCTTAAACACTTTATGTTCACAGAATGAATACGACTTAAATGTGTAATTCTCAACCTGGGCTCACAACTCCGAAAAGCAAATGCAATTCCAAGCAGAGTTCGAGGTCTCACTGGTGACATTACAGTTTCCCAGACAACCAAAAGCGACGATGAGGAAAGCAGACCGCACAAAAACTTTGCATCTGCAGTGACAGCTTTCACTGAGCCTAATAACTCATCTGACATGAAGATGAGATTAAACGTTACAATGAAAAGAGGGAAATCAGCTAAAGCAAAGCAAAAAGTAAAACAAGCTGAACGTAGCATTCAATCAGCCCCGAGCGGCAATGAAATCTTTACAGCAGTACACACTGACATTGTGTCAAAGTCAATAATCCCACATGATGTTTTACCCAACATGGGCATTCAAGTACAACCTGTGCACTGTATGTACTATGCGAAACACCATAAAAATATTAACGTTTTCCTTTTCTGCAATCAAATGTCTGCAGACTTTTTTCAAAAAACAAGTGGTTTCATTGCTTGATAATAATAATATTTTATTGACTAAATCAAACCAGATCTCCAGGAAATTGTAGACCAGCTAAGTTTAAAATGCCAGATCATAATTCTAAAACAACAAAACATTATGTATCAAATAATATTTAAATGTTGTTTTTCTTGTTTTACATGCATTAAAAAATAAAAATAATTTTAAAAAATTCTAAAAAAGAGTAATGACCTGAGTTAGATTGATCTCAACTGAGGCAAGTGAGGCCTGCAGAATTGTTCTGGGGTCTCCTGTGACGTCCCAGAAGAGCAGGTTTACCGCCACTTCTTGTCTTCTCCACTTCTGAATAGTTCTCAGTGTGCACCAAAATCTCCAAAAACGCCTCGATAATCCTCTCCAGATTGATAAATGATCCCAGCTTTGCTCGCTTTTGGCCTACTTCGTGCTGTCAAGCAGGTTACATTCAACTGCTTTCTTGATTCTGCTGACTTGAGGAGTAAAGTTCATACCTGGATATGGCAGATGAAACTGAAACAAGTGTTTCAAATGAGCTGGTTAATCACAGATAACTGATGATTTAACAGGGACAAAGGATTGCATTTTTAGTTAGTAGGGCTAGTTTTCTCAATCATGCTATTAGAAAATAGCATTTTGTATTTACCTTGACAACTTGAAACACAACTATCCAATGGAAAGCCTGCAAGTACTGTTACTATTGGACGGTTCAGCCACTGCATGAGTCACTGAAGGTTTGCCCGCGAGCACGCGCGCCCATGCACGCGCACAAACACAAAACGCAGCTTTCTGTGCATCCCTTTGAACAAAGTCCACCCTGTGTTTTCTTCCTCGTTTGAGAGGAACATTACCCGAGCGTGTTTCACATGAAGCTCAGGCGCCCCCCAAAACCTCAAGACTTTCTCCAACATCCCAAAGCTGCTTAAAACTCGAGTGAAATAGATTATTAATTAGATTAATAGCCCTAGCGGTACGCTCAGGTTTTTTTTTTTTTTTTTTTTTTAATTGAGCAACCCACGTGTGGTGCTGCTAAGCCCCGGTTTCACTTCAGGATGAACGGGTCTTCACGCCGAAAAATATCACGTAAAATGTCAACCTGTTTAAAACGCCGCTAAACGCGAGCCAGTCCAGAATTCACATCATACGTCACTGCTTACGTCCTCTCTTTTAACGCGTACGTAAAAGAAGCTAATCTGTTTTCTGCTAAATGTGGCGCATTCAGCCCGGTGTTGATACGGTTTTTTTTGTTTGTTTGTTTTTTTTCGCGTGTGTGTGCAGCTGGGTCAGAAAAGCTTACCTGCAACTTAAGAACAGAAAGTAACTTCCGGCATTTTATCCGCACACCTTTACTTCCCTCGAGTCTTTTTTTTCTAATAACGTTCCGTTTCAACCCAGTGTACAAGTCACTCGGCTGTTTCCGTCATTGAATAAAACGAGCTCCACGCCCATCAGGGAACCTGCCCCCTTAACTCCCAATACAATAATAAAAAAAAAGAAGAAGAAGAAGTCATCAGTGTTTATTGTGACGCTTAGCAGCTGTTAAGATGAGCCAGTGTAAGGACGTGATAAATTGTCTTTATTGTTGTAGAAAATGGGAAAATCTCGTTGTTCAGAGCTGCACAGGAATGTGTGAGGTTTCTCTGGGTGTACCGGCCGGCATGCCTCTGCTTGATCCCGATGCTGCAGGCTATGGATTCAGCACAGACAGGAATGCAGCCGGCAACACGTCCCACTGACACACTGCGTTTTATTTCCATCCTGTACAGCAATGAAAAGTCATTAAAGCACAGCTGCTTCCCATGTAAAACCCTGGAATGTAGGGAAATTTAATATTTACTTCTTTTTTCTATTTTTTTTTTGTTCATTTATTCCATGGGGAAAGAAATTTTCCATCAAAAGGGGGGAAAAACTTTGCATTTTCGGTTGATCAGAGGGTTAATCAATAATCCATGACTTCCTATAGCCACTGTTCACGTCTCATAGTTCAAGTGGAACAGGAAATAGATATAAAAAAGACATTGGAATCCGTCAAAATTAGAAACATTACGTGAGAGTTTATGTTTCCTTTGCAGCATTTTTAAATGTTCCTGGTTAAATCTAAAAACTAAAACTTAGAATGTTTTTAAGATGTGTCCCAGTATGTCTTACTCAAGTGACCATATGCTCAGAAAACAAAAAGGGGAAAGCACATTTCAACACGACCTTATGTGAAACTAAATGCTGTTTTATCAGGAATAAAAGGACCATGCAGTGGATCGTGTTGGGCATATGTGGTCTGTGAAGAATGGCTCTTGTTTTGCTTGTCCAGGATCAGCCACATGATGGAGACAAAGTACTGCAGGTTCTGTGAGACATAGAAACAAATCATAAGAATATCTAATGTTTACCACCCTGCATCAAAACAAGACCAACCCAAGAAGGATGCATAAAAGTTAGAAAATTGTATTATACTTGCTTTTATTAAGAATATTTTTCATTTAATATTGTGATATGCAGAACTCCAAAACCATCATCCCTGAGGGAACTTAAATATCTTGCATTGTTGCATATCAGAGTACAATTTCAGTACATGATGGGTGCTTTAACTACTTTTAAAAATGTGAAACTTTCTTCTGAAGAAACATTTTTACTGTAGGTCACTCAGATATTCACATACAAATTTGCGTACAGTGATTTCTAAAAAATATTCACATTCCTTAATTTGTTTTCGTTGTGTGAAGCCACCAGATTCAGCATGTCATATTTGGAAACCTGTTGTTTGATGAGCATAAAGAAGCACACAACGGTAAAGTGAAGACGAAATAATCCTACTGGGATTTCATAATGTTTTACAAAACGCAAAGTGTGGAATGCATTTGTATTATCCTAATACCCCTAAATAAAATCCAAGAAAATCGATCTCAGTGTGGATCCAGCACTTTTGTGAAGGCCTCAGAGGTTTGTTGGAGTCCCGCAGAATGGCCAGGGATAAAGTGACGGAAAACTTTAAAGCTCTTCTCAGATTTTGCTTTTGGGGAAGAAAACTTGGAAAACCGTGTATATTTTCTTTCCACGCCTTGTGTTGGTTGGTTCATCACATACAATGCCAGTGCTTTGCAAGCTATTGCATGTGCACTGACAAGAAAAACTCTTAAAGCTCCACAGGAAACCTCAAAAATGATGCCCAGCACAGTGACAGGATGTCTCAAGACTTCGCATTGTAAAGATACAATTTACGGCACATTTAACACTGGTGAATTCCTTGTAAACTGGCAACATTGCGATTATTCAGGATAGAAACACTCCTAAAATTGGGTTCAAATTCCTGAGCAGCTCCAGGTTGCATCTCCTTTCTGCTCACTCAAGCAGCAAACTGTGGAGCAGAACAGGGGAAGATGACAGTAGAAACAAGTTTTTCCTCTCGTAAAGTTTTTCGTTGTGTGGCTTCGCTTTTGTCCAGCCCTGTGCCGCCCTTTAAGGGGGGGGGTCACCTTAGCAACACTTTTTACTGCCGGCAGTCGTGTGAATGCAGTTTTTGGCTCCTGCTGGGACAACGAGAGACACGCCAACATCAACTGCCAGTGGCACCAAAACCGCACACAGCTGGGCTTATATTCATGTGCATTCATGTCACGGGAATTGAAAGAAGATTAAAAGGGAAGACTAAAAAAAAGGGGCTCCCTGAGAAAATTTCTGGCTGTCGTCTTTTCCACTTTAGCATGGATATAGACCAACCTGAAAGTCATCCGATAAATGAAGCAAACTGTCCCCTCGGCACAAACACCGGGGACAGTCTCCTCATCACCTTGGAAAAGGGTTCTCAAGAAAAAAGGGGCTGCAGAAATCACCACGGTGGATTAGCATTTGGCGACAGAGAAGAAGGGAAACGCAGGCCAGAAGAAATCAAGAAGGACAAAAAAGGGAACAAAAGAGTCATTAGAGAGCAGAAGGAGAAGGTCGTGGAAGTACTGAAAGAGCTGAATGAGTTTCATGCGGAGACACTGACGGGTCGGAGGGAGGTCACTGACGAATGCGTCTGCATACTCAAAAAGTTTCCACCAGGGGTCGATGAAGATCATGATGCCTCTACAAAAGGTATCGTCTGCGGGTTCTTGTATGAGATATCTTTAAATATTATTAATATATTTATTGTTAAGTATTTGATTGCACCCTTGAAGATGTGTTTGTTTTATTCAGGTACAAAAACTGCAGCGATCAGGTGAAAGGTGACGCCCCTAACAGGTTACTGGGCAGCACTAGTACTGGCACTATTGAATTTAAAAAATTATTTATTTTGAGACTTTTCCCCCATCTTTAGGAAAGATGCCAGTGAAAGTATTTGGTCTCAAAATTTGTGTAAATAAGCACAACTGGTCATTTTCGGTTCCAAACCAGAAAAGCGTGAGTAAAACAGGAGAGAAGAAATGCCGACTCAGTTACAGTAAATTAATCTATCTGTCAAAAGGCTTAGCTGAGATTTCAAATATAGTGAATTGTATATTTTGACCCTTCGGAGTCTGGGGACAGTAAAGGCACCACGTCAATCTCCTGTGGATTTGTTTGCACGTTTACAAACTGGTTTTTGTTTCATTTCAGATGTTTCAGAGTATAAAACTAGATCCTGTTCAGTATCTGATGGCATTTTCTTGAGTGTTGGGAAAGACATGGAGGAGCTCATGGATGGAGGTACCAAAATCAATCCAAAGCCGGATGCCGCAGTGCTCCGGTTATCCACGCATGAGGAGTCAGCTGCCGTCTTTCAGGAACCCAGAGACGAGGATGACGCAGATCAAACGGAAGACATCAGGAATCAGCAATCTGAATATAATCTGGAGTTTAGAGAAGAAGTTCGAGACGCTCAAGATCAGAAGTACATCCTGGACTCTGGATGCAACAGTTCGAACTGCAGCATGGAGAAAGAGACTGAGGAGAAAACCAACATCGCAGGTCAAGAGAAGGATTTTTACAATCAGGTTTCTTCACTGGAGGCAGAGGAGAAATACAGAGAGAATAAAACTAAGTGGAGAACAGAAGAGAAATGGGTAACAACATGGTAAGCTGCCACAACCATCACAGTGTGTTTATTCTAACTCCTTTTATTGGGCCACTCTGACACATTAATATGCTTTTGCAGGTGTGACTGCATATTTAAGGTTGTTGTCTTTTTGGAAGGTGAACTTCTGCTCTATCCTCAAGTATCCGTGTGCCCTGATTTGATTCAGTGACATTTTAAACTTCTCCACAGTCTTCTCCTTGGCCTGTGTGCAGTGTTCCTTGGTCTTCATGAGGCTTTTGTTTCTTTGATGTTCTTTAAAAAAACCCTCTGAAGCAGAAAAAAAGATGAAATTATACAGAGATTAAAAACCACAGGTGGTTAGAAATTACAATATTTGACCTCTGAAGGCAGTTAATTGCTTTAGATTTGATTTAGCAAGATTAAAGTAAAACAAGCTTTAATTTTACTTCACAAAATACAACACACCTTTCTTATTTTTAATTAGTGAATAAAGAACAAAAACTAACAACAGTTTTTCTCTTGTTCTGCAGCTGTGCACTACTTTGCAATGGCTTTTTATTTAAAATACCAACTTTGTGGTCGTTTTGTGAAAATGCAGAAAATGTTAAAAGGGTTTGGATACTTTTTTACAAGGTTGGCTTTTATAAAAGTTAACTTTTTATAACTAGAGTTATGTTGGGAAATAATTCAATTTCCAAGTGTCTTTATATTGAATGACTTTTTTAATTCTGATTACAGAATAAAAGAGCACTCTGTTGACAGAACATTTAGCATCTTGTTCGCAGAAGAGAAAAAAAAACATGCAGCTTGCTTTTTTTTTTTCTTCCCAGAAATAAATGGGAACTTGCTCCTCATTTCTTCTGCTCACTGATTCAGACAGAAACTCAGCAACTCTTTATCGCACAGCCCCTCATGTTGACCTCCCGGGCTCCACACAGCCAGACAGTTTTTGTACAGTTCACTGTCAGGTCAGTGGCTGCATTTGTGCAAAACATGCCAAACAAATCACGAGAATTCGGTTCAGACGGGCAGAGCGAGTCTGGCAGAAGCTGATATGGGTGAAGTGAGCACTCTCCCTCCAAATAGTTCCCAAAAACTGTTGCCTCGAGGACGAGTGCAGGCAGTCACCCATGTATTTTATTGAAATTCGTGCTTAAAAGCTTTTAAGTGCTCTATCTCTGCGGTGTGTTGCAAATCTTGTTTTTGTGTGTGCTCTAAAACAACGCTCAGGCTCAGAGGTGGGACGGACGGCTCCGACAAAGCAACAAATGCTGATAAAGCGCCCGCCCCCGGCGGGCGCTTTATCAGAGCGCCCGCCGGGGCCCTGACGTGTGAGGCGGCCGACGCCCTGAGCTGCCTGGTGGCGAGCGGCTCGGAGGAGCTCATCAGCAGAGTGATTCGCGTCAAAGTTCAGGACCGAGGCGCCCTCCGCTACCCCGTAACCGTGGCCGTGCCCTTCTGTGTGCGCCATCGCGGCGGCCACAGAGAGGTTGCAGTAAAGGTCGTTGAAGAGGAGAAGAGAGTGAGCTACATCACCCCGGTGACGACGGAGGAAGTGCACGGAGGCCAAAAGGTGTTGCTTTCTGCCGGCGTAGAAAGTTTGGCGACACTCTATTTGACGGGTTGTGAATGAGACCGTCATAAACATGACATAACAGCCTGTCACGAACACGAGGAAGACTTCATGAATATTTATGGCTGTTGTCATAAAGTGTCATTCAGTAAATCGTGACACTTCTAATTCAAAGTCGCCATTATTAAAAATGTCTTTGCTATGACAACTTGTCATGCACCAAGAAATCATGGTCTGACATAAATTTGTTATAAAAGTGTTACTGATTGAACTTCTGCTTTAGTAGCATAAAGCTACATCATTTTTACACTTTTGTAACAAATTTAGAAAGTTATAACATATTTAGCAAAGTTACAGCTAATTTACAATTCTCAGCACCAGGTACGGTGGCTACTTCACAGAGCCCTGACCAAGGTTTTAAAAGATTTATCTTAAAAAATACACAAAACTGACATGTGCAAGTTGATTGATAGACAACTTTATCAATATACTATTTCATGAAATGCAAACTAAATATAATGCCTTTCCACTGCAGTGATATATTGTGTTTATGTTGTAATTTCCCTACAGGTGTATACATTTTCTTTTTTTTTCACTTTATCTTACTACTTAATGCAATGAAAACAATCTAATATATATATATATATATATATATATATATATGTGTGTGTGTGTGTGTGTGTGTGTGTGTGTGTGGGGGGGGGGTGTGTGGGGGTGTGTGTGTGTGGTGTGTGTGTGTGTGTTTTATATACTTTACAGGGTCGTTTTGCTGAGGTGAAAGTGTTCTCCTTGGGTATATTTGCTGTAGTTTCACGTCCAAAAAGAGAAATGTACAACATTCCCAGGAAAGGGTTGTCACTAAAAATCCCCATGGACCCTCGGATCTGTCTGAACTACCTCCCAGGATCCTTCACTGCTCCAGTAATGGCTCAAACAATGGTATGGAGAGAATAAGCTGATCACCAAACCTTCTTTTGTAAAGTGGGAGGTGAGACAAAGTGTATTAACATATAAACCGATTGTTCTGAAATGGTTGAAACATTTTGAAATTCAGAGTAGAGAGGAAAAAGGCAGGCGGCTTGTAGTTCAGAGATATGCTGTCACAGATATTTGCTGTGTAGGAAGAGAATAAGAACAGCTGCATGATGCATTTCAGTGTACATGCGAGTCCAAACATTTCTGAACTGACTTCACTGCAGCAGTTTGCAGCTTGATCTCGCGTCAAGAAACATCAGCCCCCAATCTGCTCGGCTCTGCTTTGATTAAACAACCTGCTGTCGGCGGAATTAAAGCGTCAGGAGAAACATGTTCTCATATCATTCTGCATCTCCATCAGAATCGTGCCAAACAGATGTTTGCTCATCTGTTTCAGGTCCAGCCGGTGGACACCGTCCTTCTGGCTGCCGTCAAGTCTGGGAATGACGCCTATGAGTCGGTGGTGTCAGCCAGCCCACTGCTCCACCTCACCCACCCTAACTCTCAGCCGCTTAGGAGACCCCTCACAATTACGCTTCCGTGTCCACCAAACTCTGAGAAAAAGGAGGAAGAAAGGAGGAAGGAAAGCAAAGCACACCAGGTTGGGGCTCCTAGTGATCCCTTGATTCCCTCAGGCAAAGCAAGGTGGGTCAAAAGTGTAGGAACAGTAAATCGTCTTTGTCATTTCTTAGTCTTCTTGCTAAGCTGGTTTCTCTTGTGTGTCTCTATCAGAATCCTTGGTGCTTATGTGAGATCTAACGAGACGTCCAATGAGTTGCTGATTGTTCTTGGTTCAAGAGACAAACAGTGGATTGTTCTTGATAAAATAATCATCAGGAACCAGAAGAACGGACTGGTGACCTTTGACCTGATAGAAAACTCTGACAGGTGAGTAAACCCACTGGCATCCAAAAAAGCCCATCAGCATGATGCCATCACCACTGTGTTTGAGAGCAGTTTTCTTAGCTTTGAGATTCTCGCAATGAATCCTCCAAACACTTTACTGATTTTTGCCAAGTCAACAGCACAAGTCAGTCAAGGTCCTGCTGTCTTTCGGCAAGATGTTGTTAAGAATTAAAAAGAGGAATAACTTGATTTAGCTCTTTAATTAATTCTTTGTCCCGAATTCTTGTGTCTGTATACGTGTGCAGAGAGAAAAGAGCAATCCTACGACGTCAGACTTCAGATATTCAGAGTTTTATCCAGAGAAATTCAATGCAAGAAGAACTTTACAATAAGCATCTCACCTAGAGCAAAAGTCCAAGACATTACAAAACAGAAACAAAGAACTGAGTAAAAAGGGAAAAACAGAAGATGCATCCTCCGGGAAACTCTCACTCAGCACAAAGAGATTTCAACTTCTGCTGTGAAACAAATCATTTTATAGAATGTGTATTCTCCTCATTTAAATATATGCATTAGGAGGTGTGTTTTTTCCTTTGTGTGGGCTGTCTTAAATGTTAATTTTATTACCTCCTGCTAAAGAGCCCCAAAGGCAGATATATGGATTGTCAAACTGGGTCTTTGCCGTACCAGGCGTCTCCTGCAAACTCTCCCTGAGCTAAATTTACGACCTCTGTCTGTTTTAGTTTTCTGCCTCAAATGATTCCACAAGAAAGTAGTTTGTATTTTTAACCAAGCTTGCACAAAATGTAATGCTAAATAATGACTATAAGTTGGATCTAAAACTAATTAAAAACATGCTTTTTAATGCTTAAAGAAATATACCAATAGGTTTGATTATATGTTGTAACAGACTTCTATAGTTTCTAATGTTTGCCTGAACTATTCAACCCTGAGTAAAGAATTTATTGCCCTGATAGCCAATACACTCCCTGTCTGAAATGTTCCTTAAGGAGTATAAGACTGCTTTCTGATTAGGAATTTATGTAAGTTCAGAGAGTCACCAGTTGTCTTAGTTTGGATTTGTCTCTAAGTTTATCTTAACCTAAAAGTTAACTTATGTACTATTGTGCTACTTTAAAATTCTATTTCAACAATGTGAACAAGCTTCACCATGGACACAGTTTCATATCATCTTCATCTACCCACGTAGCAAATACTGTTTGCTAAAACAGTGTAGGGAAATGCTTTAGAGAGCCGAAATAAACTCCTATCTTTTGCCACATCTCTCTGTGTGTTTCTGCAGAAGTTGGTCAGAAGCATTGATTGATTTATGCAGTCATGCTCTCAACTTGCTTCCTCTTTTTCACTTTTACAGTGTCTGCATGAAGTTATGCCCACTGCAAAGGAAGATAACGTAACTTCTTGCACCTGAACTGAGAATAGAGTACCAGAACATGTTTGCATGTTCTGGTACTCTAAACAACAAACAAAAAAAACTGAAGTAAAACAACAGTGGGAGTAATAGTGAAGTCGGTTCTACTTTAGTTAGTTTTCAGTCCTGTTCTTTAGAGGCAAAAACTGATGGAGAATTTTTCACCAATTGCAAAAGTATTACATGAATGAACTGCAGGACTTTACAGCTATTTGTCTTTTAGACAGATCACACTAAAATAGAGACGTCCGCCCATAAGGTATCATCATAAATGGGAAACCAAGCAGAAGATAAACACAAGCTGCTCATGCAAGCGTGTCAAGCATGGTTGTGGCAGGATGGGGATCGCTGGGTTTTGCAACTGGGCCTGATCACAAGTGGATCCAGTAAAATATCTACAACACAGTGGCTGAATAACGAAACGCTGAGCTGTTTCAGTGGTGCAGTAAAAGTCCAGACATTTACCTGATTATTTGTTTCAGTGCTGCTTTCAGATGCTTAAATTATTGCCCCAAACTTAACTTGACTAATGTGTAATTAAGAGCTAATAATATGAGGAAATGCCAGAAAGGAACTACTTCAAGCTGTCTCTGTCGAACTAAAGCTACTAAGTCATATTTATCCTTTAACAAGTAACGCTGTCCAAATCCAGCAAGACTTTAAACACTGGTCTGATATTGATTCAAAATGGCGTGTGTAGTTATGAAAACATCAATTATAAAACTGGATTAACCGTGAAAAAAATGCACATGATCTTCCGCAGCTGGACAATATTATTTCACCACAAATTGAAATAGCACATCATGTTAAACATTATCATTAATTAATGTGACTTATTCTCAAATCCTGTAAAAATTTATACTAAAAATAAAAAATAAATTCTTTTGCATTGTTTAAGAGTTAAGAGAATATGTTTCAGTACAACATAAAATAATACAAGTCAAACTTACACAATGGATGCCCAGTGTCTGTAGATTAAATTATTATTGCCAGCTTCGTTCCTCATTCTGTTCCTCAATAAAATTGTGTACCGTTTCATTGCCCAGCACTACGTCCACTTCATTATGTATTTGTTGTTCTGATCACTTTTAGTCATGAACATTACAGTTGCATAAAGCTCACCTTCGCCTGGTTTAAAGTCCTACTATGTTGGATTTATATTGTTTGGATTGCTTTGGGAAGTACTTGGAAAAAACAGAAAACTGAGATCTGTTTTCTCTAGTTGATTGTTGAAAACGACAATACATGTGACAAAAAAAAAAAAAACAGCTGTAAGAAGTGATTTTAATTATTCCCCCCTAAAACTGTATTACTCTTCATTCTTCTTATCTAAATCAGGCTTAGTGGGGAATCATATATGCACGTTAGGATTTATAATTTCCATAATTTCCCACGAATACATTATTTCTGACTTCCAGCTCCTGAAAACAAGCCCTTTTCACTCAGCGGTAATCCAGACTCTTTCAATGAAGTAAAACTTCTCAAGTTTCTCTCTTTGCCTCTTCATACCAGACTCCTCGTAGTTCGTCTCCTGTCGCCACTGCAGCCTTGTCACCTTATCGCGCTGGCCGAGGAGCTGGAGGCCTCGGCCTGCCGCCACTCGGTGACCGTCGTCCTCCAGCATGGACGGGATGACCCTCACAGCGTCCTCCTGGCTGCGTTGCCGAGCAGAGACCTCAGCTGGGAGCTGAACAGACTGCGGGCTGGTGGGGCTGTGGAGACCTCCGCTGAGATCTCCCTGTGTGAAGGAGATCAGCTTCTCCTGCGCTTCAGTGGGAACATCACATCCACAGGTGGGAACCCGGCCAGAATCACGCGTCTGCTGGCCTTTGTGGGTCAAATCACACAAGGACTGTTCAGAGTGCTTCAAATCAGGTTCAAATTAGGAGACATTAACGTCTTGGCGCTGTTCTTACTTGTCCCTGGAGAGGAAATTGATATGATTAAACTTATTTTACTCACTGAACAAAAGATGTAACAATAGTTAATTGCTAGTATTACCTTCATTAGCTAAAAAAAATACTTCACAGATGCTTCCTGTACCTACCAGTCTTTGACATCGCTGTGAGGAAGTTTGCCCCCATGTAAACAACATTACTCCAGAAGTTCTGGGCATATGAGCCTTTGTTGTTTAAAGCCTCACTCTTGCACACTATTTTCCAACCAATTCAATGACTGATTTCAAATGTTCTCACCGCCCTTACTCTTAACCTGCTCCGTGTTTTATCTTGTCAGTGTGTGGGCATCCCATTTCCAGGTTAAACATCAGTTTGTTTAGCTCAGCCACAGCAGAAAAACTGATGCAACTACCCTAAAAGGCTTCAACACTGGGAATGTGATGTTTTGATTTTGAGTGAGAGAAGTTTGCTTTATGTCCCATGACCGGAAGATGCAGTTAAAAGTAATTATATTCCCTTTTAGTCATACTGTTTTATGTATCAAGGCAAAATGAAAAAATCCTCCAGTTGCGAAAAGCTCTTCAAATGTGAACAAAAGTTGTAGCAGAGCTTGGCTAAATCAACATCAGTACGTAGAAAGTGAAAGCTTTCGGAAATTTTAATTGCCAAAACTAAAAGGGGTGAAGGCAAAGGAAGTTCAACACAAAAAAGTAACAACCTAAAAGCAGAAAAGCAACATAGGTCGCCTGCAGAACAAGGAACTGAAAATGTGCTAAACCTAACATGGGCTATTTATAATTTTGTCAAATAATGATGCGAGTGTTGATTTATAGACAAGCCTTCACAGGCCACAGAGGATATCTAGAAACAAATGTCGTAAAAGTTCTAACTGGTAAAGTGAGGTTAAAAGAAATCCTTTGCTTTATAGAAGTTTTGAAGTGCAACATTTCAAAGGGGAAAAATGCTTGTATGATTTTGTGATTTTCTATTTGCATATGTGCACTTTGCAGCCTTCACACAGAGCAACACGAGTGAGGAGTCACACGAGCGGCTGACCTTTCACTGTCAGCGGAGGAGTGAGCTGTTAGTGCGTCTAACTGAAGTGGACCCGTTTGGGAATTACAGCTCGCCTTGCTACAAGGGCACAGCCCTGTTTTATAGAGTCACCAGAGCTGAGCTGGAGTGGAGAGGGGACAAAGCTGTTCTGAGGGATGCAAAGCTCCTGGCAAACCCAGTTTGTAAACTGCCTCTGAGTTTACCCAAGGTGCAGAAGTCTTGTCATTTTAATTTCGGTAAAAGACCTTTAAGAGCTTCCAACACGTTAAATTTGTGTGATTTCAGAAAGTGAGAGTCATTCATCGGCCGATTGCCACCAGAGTGAAGATATCTGAGGATGCAGGTGGGTGACTCAGTCAGCTGTTGGTGCTGCACTCAGGTGCATTGCTAAGGTACTTTTACCAAACTAATGGGCCGCTTAGGGCTTATTATATTAACAAAGACACATAAACTCATTATTAAGTTATGATATTGTTTTACAATAATATACATTTGGTAAAGGTTGTATAAATCCTTCTTATCCACCTTATACCTAGCCCCCATGAAGCTTTGCGTGATTTATGGGCGCTACTTCCGCCATAAACCGGAACCACCATTTGTTTACATGTTAGCAACTCGCTAACCGGCTTGAATGCGGAAATATTGTTTTACCGCAACCTACAGCTATTGCGGGGAGGGATGGTGGGTTGAAGAAATGCCAGCAAATAACCCGCACTAGCATATGTAGCTACTTCACTGATCAGTTTCATAGTTCAATCTATGAACTAGTTTGAACCAGTTGAAACTAGTTCATAGTTTCAACTATGAACTGTTGTTCTGAAACAACCAATCAGAACCAAGAGGTAAACTTTTGGTTCTGATTGGTTCCTAATGCTTTGAATGTGTCTCAGCACATTCAACACATTAGACTGAATGAGTTGCTTCAGAATTAGACTTTATTCATTAATTAGACTTTATTCATTCTAACGCATCAGACTGAATTACAATGCACTGTAACTATGCAATTAGCAGAAATACATCCGATTTTGCCTAACCCGGACATTTTCCTAACCCTAACCCATAACCCATATTCCTAACATTAACTAAAACTTAATTTTCATCTTTACCCCCTTTTCAACGATACCCCCTGACCCAAAACAATGAGTCCATCATATTAGGACCAGGCTTTGGTCCTAATTTGATGGACCTAATGTGACACTGGGCATAGAATGGTGTGTTCACACCAAATGCGTTTTGAGCGCCAGGCGCGTCTGCTTTGCAGTCAGAGTCTCTGTGAAGGCGTGTTGAGGATGATTGCGGCACACTGCGAGCATCTAGAGCGGCATGATTTGAACCGTTTGACACATTTAGCGCATGCAACACTCCACATAGACTTTGAATATAAACCAGACTCGCCTGACAATCAAAACGTGTTTGATGTGAACATTAGAATGTTCAGTTCCACTGGTAACAATGACATCACTCTTTAATGCATCAAATTTATCTTTTTTTTTTAGGCCTGTTCCTGTTTCAGACTTTTAAGTTATAGGTTATGAATCTTCTACAGGAGCAATAATGTTAAGATTATTTAAAGGCACAGAATCAGGCTAGTACAGGTTCACATTCTGACCTGAGAGAGACTCACCTGGTACAAAGTGAATTTTTCGGCACTGAAATTACACAGAAGATAAATTAATTTAATCAAAGTATGTCATGAATATGTGTGAATGTACTCCATCTTAAGTGCAGGGCATACTGGTTTTTTTTTTGTTGCTTTTGCCACAACTAGATGATTTGCATATGAGAAGTAAAATAAACAGCACTATTCAGGCAAAACAAGTTACATTTTTTTAAATTGCTGTTTAAAATCTATCAGAGCCTCTTTCTGACGCCCTTCTCGTCTGGCTGTCTGGGGAGCTGTCTCCGGAGGAGACGTCTCTGCTGGCGTCCTCCCTGCGTCTCAGTCGCAGCGCAGCCCAGCTGGTGAAGCTCCGCTCCAGGGACAATCCGTCAGATCAGGCCTTTCACGTCCTGGCCATGTGGAGGCGAGCGCTTCCTGCCGTCACACGCCACCCGAAGGCCTCGCAACTCGCTCAGAGCCTGGGCAGGATAGGCAGACCGGAGCTGGCCCGAGAGGTGCTGCTGCGAGAGGCAGAACTTTCTGCAGCAAGGAGTTTTAGAAAGTGAAAAAAAAAAAAACAATGTCACACCAGCTTAATTTAAGGAGCATGATGTAGTAATCGGTTTATTCCACAAGAGGACAGTATTGCACAGAGAAACAATATTGTGGAAAGAGGAAAGTGGTTCCTTCTTGATTTGGGGAGCAGCATTTGTAGTAAATGCAATTTAGATATTTAATTTTTAATTAACAAAAGAAATGATAGCCCCATACACCTCTTACTATGACGTCTCAAGAACCTTTAGACAGCATGGAGGACCTGGTCAGGCAAACAGTGTAATGGAACAACATTGGGACAATCCTTTGTGGATTATTCCTGCAGTTCTTTGCTTTTTTTTTAACTTTATTTTTATAGAGCAAACCATTTCAGCTGGATAGAAGTCTGACAGAGCTGATTCTTTATTATTCTCTGTAGCAGCGCTGTCTTAAGTGAGCAACTGTGCCGGGATGCATTGTTTTGTTTTGTATGTCAGATTCTGCAAAGCTATGGGTTCAAGGGTTTTGGGGTTGGAAAAAAAAAAAAAGCATGTTTTGCATGTTTCTAAAGCATCAACACTGGACTGATAGAGTTGGGGCGGTAGCATCTAATGACAACATGTACCATGTAACATAATGGTCATACAAGGATTTTTGTTTTTGTAATTTTAAGACCACCAGCAGATTTTTATGTCCTAATATGTATAATCGTCTGTCTGAAAGTTGGTGTACTTTCATCCCAACTTGAAGTAATCCACCGTCTATAATGTTGATAATTCATATCAACAAAATAATTAATGGTTCTCTTATTTATTTATCACGTATCCTTTTTTTTTATTCAAAACTTTTTATTTTTATCTGTGAAACAGACCAACACTTTGCTCAGAAGTCTGTCTTCAGCGACAGAAGAGAGATTTAGTGGACCAGTCGTCCATTGTCTCGCTCATAAACAAACACTGAGTTCTGACCTCCTCTCAGCTCCTTGACACGGAGTCATTTTTTAAAACTTGACAGCACTTGTTGAGATGTGATTAGAAAACAAAGGCCTATTCCTCAGCGTACTGTTTTCACATCCAGGTAATTGACTATATTTGTCTATATTTACTGATTTATCTTCTTGATTGAGTGACACTTTCTCAAATCCTGTTGCTTTGCAATCGTTTGAACTTGGATGCATCACTTTGTACAGAAGCTTTAATGCATGTTACCAGAAGGAGCATGCAAAATCTATAATGCGTTTTTTGTTTTGTTTTTTTTCCACTTAAATTTTTGGGCCCATCACATTGAAGTTAAAAGCCTAATATGTTTTGATGTCTGTGAGCTGATGTCAGATAAACAAGCCTCAGTATTTGATCAGGCTGATTATATGTCGGATGAAAATAAACAAGTAATGCTGATAAAAGTTGATCTAAAAGCGCCTATCAATGCTTTTCATGTTTTACTTGATCAAACATGAAAGCTGGGTCATTATCTATGGATTTTATGACTTAGCATAACACCGTCACTGATGAAGAATAGGATTGTATTGTATGATATGTGGACTAAATTTAAGTTTATGCAAAACAATCATAATTGTTATGCATAAACTTGGGTTTTATGCATAAATTATTAGTCCTGTTTGTCTTGTAAAGTGTATTGAGATGACGTATAGTGCAAGATGACACCATTTATATAAATGAGTTTAAATAAAACTGGACTGACAACTGGACAGGTCTTAAGTTGTCTAATTGTTTATCCAGTCAAGCAGGTTGGCCTCCTTAAAAAGTATTTAACATGGAGAAATTGAGACCTTTTATGTTTCTTGTGACATTTTTGAAGTAAGTTGCTCATTTTATGATGCGCTTTTTGGTATGAAGAGTGAAAATGTAGTATGTCTTTTTGGTTTGCTTTCTGGTTCCATATTTATTGATCATCTCATCTTCCAGTGATGAAGTTTCAATGTTCTATGCACATCCAATGGGCACCTGCTGATGGCCTACAGCTAAATTACTCAGAAATAGATCAGACTTCTCTCTTGTTTGAGCCACTTCAAGCATTTAACATGCTGAGGCAGTTAAATGTTCATCAGGGCAGACAGAGTTACTGCTTATTGTGTCATGAGGTTACTATGGCCACAAATTCACAACAGGTGTCTGGAGGCACTTTACAAAAACATCATTTCAGTTCAATTGTGTATGCATGCTACTTTTTTGTGCATAAAGTAGCAGTGGTTTAGTTTAACTTTATGTGGCACAGACAAAACAAATCCATACGTTTACTTTGGTCTGAGCAAATCGAGCGGCTGGATCTCAACATCGGTACAGTTTTACAAAAGCAGCAATCCAGATGTGTTTGAGATGGGAATGACCTTGAAACATGTTATAAACCTCAAAAAAGTCAATTATGGATAATACTCCAACCTCTTAAACTAAAAGGTTTACAAAATACCAGTTTGTATTTCCAAGAAAAATACAAACTGGTGCAACAGGGTTATTGTAGAAAAATCTATTTCAGATTTATAGTCTAATAACGCGTCTTTCTTAACTAAAACTTTAAAACAAACACCAGTCGCACAGAAATGGCAGCGTTTTATAAACAAATCCCACAAACACAAATATCCGCTAATCTTTTATGTGTGCCATCACACAGCTGGGAAATGGACCTTGTAATGAGATATTTACTTGTGTTTCAAATGAAAACGTAATTTGTCAGTTGCAGCTGGTTTCCACAGGGTCACAGCGAATGCCTGCACTATCTAAAACTGCTATAGCTCCAGCTTTTTTAAGGTGCTCACAGGAGTTTTTCCATTTCATCTGCCTTCAGAGCCTCATAGTCCAGCTGTGTGACATTCTGCAGGCCCTGAGCTTAAGGCAGGGAGCTAATGATAGATGCTGGGAGCCCAGGTGGGGCTAGTGGGGTTCTCTGGAGGAGAGACGAGACCACCCCGAGCCGCCGACAGGAGGTGGGGGAGGTTAATGACGTATAAAAGAGTAAAGGAGGAGCTGATGGATTAAACATATCGATTCCTCCTTTTTAATTATTCATGCTTTTTTTCTCCTTGTACAGCTGTTGTGGTGTTTCTCAACTTCAGGTGCACTCTAAGTGGTAATATTTCCGTCGTAGTTCGTCACAGAACTCCTTTTTCCTCCTTTCCCTCCATTCTGCGAGATTCTGGCAGGAGAGTTTTGTCCTCCGAGTCAGTGAGCTGGAGGGAGGCATCATTAGTCTGGCTTTGGGGCCGTGTAACATGCACAGAGAGACGCACACGCTGACAACCCAAGAGGTAAATGTCACACCGGGGGGGCTCCTGCTGGGCCAAGAAATCGTTTCCGCCCTCATTTTATCTCTCTTCTCTTCCCCACTCCTACATTATTGAAAAGGCCACGCAGCCAGTCACTCTGGGAGGGTACAGCCGCTGTCCAGCAGCGCCGGAAATAGAGGGTTGATGAGGCAATGGAGAACGGTGCAATCAGAAGGAGATGCTGAAAGATACCTCATCTGTTTCATCATGCATTTCATCACCTTTTTCACTAAAGAGCCTCACTCTTGAGTTTATTTTTTTGGGGGGTAAATGCAATTTAATGTGATCCAGGTGTACTTAGTTAGGAATGATGGTGTGCACTGTAATAGTCTGCAACGAGAACAAACAGACCGCAGCACGTTTTTGAAAATATTACTGTATTTCTTGTCAGCCATTAATGGGCGAAATATGCTTTACTCTCTTAGGCTTGTTTAATTAGCCAGGCTTTTGAAAACTCACCAAATGTAGCACAATTTATCCTAAATGGAGGTCTCAAGCCTGGTTGGTTTTGTTAACAGATTCTAAGCAACACACTGAAAAGTTTCTCCAAAAAACAGGGCATGTTGCACTTCTCTACTTTAACGTGTCCAATTTTAAATGGACATTTGCACTTAAAATTCTAGAACATAAAAGGAAATATCAAAACAGGAAAAAAAAAGGGGGGGGTGAGCTAGTAAATATTGTTAGCATAGCTAAGCTTAGCATAAAGCTAGAAAAGAAAAATAGATTTGACATAAAACACATGAAAATACATACAGTACATCATGTTTTCTGGTTTAGAAATAGCATCGAAAATAATTTTTTGAGAACAATGCATGATTTGTGTATCTCAGCTTTACCGTTCCCAACATCGTTTTGAAAAGTCTTCCGCTGGCATTCATGTGTGGAAGTCCAGGTCTACAGTCTAGACTCGCGTTTTCTTGTTGGTTTTTGCAGCTTAGTGACACAGTAACTTGCTAAATTATTTAGGGCCATTTGGGGTACATCCCTACCACATTTTCTCATCTAGAAACAGAATATTTTGCCCATTTTTCTCCACAAAATAGGTCAAGATCAGACTAGATGTAGAACATCAATTTTTAAGTCTTGCCACAAATATTGGGCGTTTTATTTCATCTCAAGTCTTTCCCAGCTTCTCGCAGATTTTATCTGTGCCTTTTATTTAGCTGCATTCATTTTCCCTGTCAAGTTTATCTATTCTTGCTAATGTAAAGGATTCCTGCAGTCTGATGCTTGATACTGCCACCAACATTTTATTTTTTTACCTGGCTGACAATGCATTTGACCTAATGTCTTTAAAAAGAGGAAGCAGTAGATGTTTTTTCTACCAATTTAAAAAAATGTGTCCAAAGTTTTAAGAGGTGGACCTTGTCGGGGTAATAAGTGAGAAAATACCAGTGTTACGAACTAGAAATACATTTATTTACATGCTCGTTTTGAAATGATAATGTCTGGCGTTCGCAAAAATCCCACAGCGTACCGTTTGGAAAACACTGACCTAATTAGTCAGAGATGAGGAGTGAACTTTACTCCAAACTAGATGCAAAACAGAAAGTAGCTGCAGAGTTTGGTATTTATGTTTTTTTCTTTTCTGGGGGAATTTAGGCCACAGTCCTGAACAAGCTGCAGAAGATTGACGCATGTCATCAGCGCCAGATCGAAGCTAATTGAAAGCCATTCATGCAGCATGAATTGCACAAATGAAACTGAGTGGGCAAAGCTTTTGGAGTTTGGAACCAGTACAGAAAGGAA